CACACACACACACACACACACACACACACACACACACACACACACACACACACACACCGTGGCAGAGGCAGGGTGTCGCCTATATGGACCCTGAGATTTGCTGCAGTCCAGAGTTCCATACTCCTCTACTTCTCCTCCCTCCCTTCCTGGCTCAGCTCTCTGGAGTCTGACAAACAGGGGTGTGTTTAGAAGATCCTAAGTTCCCCGTCCAGGCTGGCTTGACCATCCGCCTCCTTGGCACCAAGTCCCAGGCAGGAACAGCTGTTTTCCATCCCTTCCCAGACAAGCTCTATTTTTACCACAGTGACCTTTAGAGAGGTCTCCCAGGCCACCTCAAGGTGCCCGCTGGCCCCTGTGGAGAAAAGAAGTGGGAAGATTCCTCCTCCCAGATCCCTCTCATGCTCTTCTCCACCCCAGCTCAGAGTGTCCAAGGTGTCCTATCTGTAGCCAAAGAAGAGAGCTGTAAGGCAGTGGTTTCCCACCCCAGGCCCAGTACTTGGGCCTTCAGGAATGTTATCACTGCCTCCAACCCTTCTTCTCTTCTGAGCCCTTTCATGGCAGGTTCCAGTCTCAAAGCTGAACTGGGGAAAGAAGAGCTGATATGGAGCTATGTGTTGTCTATGGTTTTACCTGATTGCCCTGAGGTTGAGGTTGCCCATTTGGAAAGAGGGAGGCCTCATTATGGGAGGTATGCAAGCAGTGGCCAGGATGCATAGAGGAGATTCTAGTAGGGAATGGATTGGCTCAGATGACTTCTGAGGGTCAGATGACTTCTGAGGGCTCTTTTGGTCCTGAAATGCATCCTATGGATTAAGAAGGGAGGAAAAGTAGTAGTGGATTGGCTGGGCAGAACGCAAGGGCAGATGAGTTTGGGTGGGTGAGTGAGGGGTTAGACCAGAGTCTGCCTGTGTTTCTAGTTCCTTGCGAAGTACCCCCTCCTTAGTTTCAGTTGCTGCAGGGCAACATCCCTATCAGGCCCAAGTGAGTGGGCACAGTTCTGCCCCTGTCTTCCCCATTGCACTCAGGTCTAGCCAGTGCCTAGTCCCTAGTGCCCTTGGGGAGCCTTGCTGCAGTCCTTAGCCTGTCCCTTAAACCTTGGTGGCTCTGATTCCAGTCCCCAGGAGAGACATGGTGACAAACGTGGCTGAGTTCTATATAGCTTCCAGCGTTGGCTGCTGGTGCCCTCTAGAGGTTCAGAGTATCAGCTTCAGTATGCTAAGCGGAGTGGAGTTTAGGGGGTTGGAATTGGCTGAGGATCAAAGGTATGTGGGTGAAAGGATATCAGGATGTTGTTAGCAGTGAGGGAACAAAGTATAATTTTGGATTAGGGGTAGACTTACCGGCCTAACATCAGGGTGGTGTTACACCTGGAAGCCCTAAGTGATGCCAGGGAAAGCTGGGGTCAGGATGGGAGAGAGGGTGGGGGTGGGCACTTTGGAATAAAGAAGTGATACCAGAGGGTCCCTAGGGCCTAAGGACTGGGAACACAGGCCCCGTTGGCAGGAAGATGAGAGGATGCTCTTGCCTAGTCAGTGATAAGTGACCAATTGACTGAAGGCCCTATCTGCTTCAGGGTCCCTTGTAGCATGGGAGACTGGGGTTAAGGGCTTCTTTCAGAGAAGAGATACCCTCAGGCCACTGGCTCATGCAATGGCATAGAAAATCCACTTCTCCCTGCATTTCCTCAAAGAGCCAGCAGGAGGTAGCTTTTCAAAGCTGCAGTTCTGTCTGACTGTTGTCTCCCTCTCACTGCCTTCTTCCCCAATCCTTTCCTCTAACCCACTAGAGATTGCTTTACTCCTGCCTCTTGCTCCTGTAGAATTCAGCTTTTGTCGTCAATAAATGCTTCCTGCACCCTTTTGCCTCCTGTGTCATTTTCAACTCATCTAAAGCCCTTCCTCTGTCCCCAGCCATGGAACAATCCACAGGACTCTAGGTGAATGAGATTGTTTGATACACTTGAGATGGGAACTGGGGAAGTGGTAACTGTGAGGTGAGATGGCCAACAATAGGAAAACTCTGGGCCACAGCCCATGTCCCTGGGTTGGAGTCCTAGTCCTATCTTCTGCTCACTGGGTGACCCTGGGGAAGCCTACTCCTTCCCCAGGCCTCAGCTTCCCTATCTGTATAATGAGTGAGCTAGGCTAGGTGAGGTCTTAGGGTAGCATTGCTCAGCCCTAGCCACAGGGCACTGTCACTGGAAAGGGCAGGACGAGGCTGGGTCGGAGCCCAGAGCTCGGGCTGCTTCCTCATGGCAGGGCAGGGCTCCATCTGAGTCTAGGCCACCCTAGTGAGCTCAAGACTCAAACCATCAGGAGTGCTTCTGTCCTGAAGGGGCATTCTTTGCCCAGAGAGGGGGATTGTGGCTCTACTACCAGATGAGGCTAGCCTGCCCTAGGAACATGCCTTACCTTCCTCTCTAGAAACTCAGGCCCAGCAGAGGCTGGGCAGAGGGGCCCGGGGGGCAGGAAGCAGAGCTTCTTCTTCTAAGAGGATCAGAAATATGCCCTTGGGCAGTCTGTCCCTGCACACAGATACATGGGGTCCCTATCCTGAACCCAGTGCATCCCTGCTGGTCCCACCTGTCTGTCCCTGGGAATGGTTGGTGTGCCTCTGATCCAATCTTTATCTTCAGCCAGAACTTCTCCTGAGTGCAATATCCCCCTGCCTACCTGTGAGCCCAGTCCTGGACCCCTCAAACCAAGTTCATCCCAAAGTGAACTCCGCATCTGCCCCTGCCCCACCCTACCCCACCCTGTTACCTTCCTCAGTCACTCAAGCTGGACACAAGAGCTCACCTCCTTCATCCAGTCTCTCAACAGGGTCTGGTGATTCTCTCAAAACCCCTCAAGCCCCTCTCCTTCTCTCCGTGCCCCTGTCACTGCCTTAGTCCAACCCCAGCTCTCACCTGATCACAGAGAAAGCCTCCTACGTCGAGTCTGGCCCCCTCCAACACATTTTCTACATGGTAGCCAGAGATATCTTTGGAAAATGCCAATCTGACCACACAATTATACCACTTGAAACTCTTCAACAGCCCTTTATAAAGCACACTTTCCTTTTGAAGAGCCTGCTGTTAACTGGCCCTTGCCCACAGGTCTGGCCTCATCTCTCAGCTCCACCCCATCCCCCATTCTCGCTCTACTTGCCAAGCCCCTAACATCCTTACACAAAACGCGGCCTCTGCCTGCAATGCTCTGGCCTTCTCTCTGCCCAGTGAACTCCCACTCAGCCTTCAAGGCCCAGCTCAAATGTCTCCTCCTAAGAGAAGCCTTCCCCACCCCACCCCCAGGCCGAGTGAGTGGCACTCTCCCCGGGGTGCTCCTGAGCATTTCCCATGATGCTTCACAGAGTCTGTTTATGGGTCTGATGAGGGCCTGGCTGAGCTCCTTGAGGACAGAGCCCCGCCTTATTTATTCTCAGTCCATAGAGAGATGCTCAGAGAATGTGAGAAGGTGGAAGGAGGGAGAGAAGAAGGAAAGAAGGAGGGAGGCAGAAGAAAAGAGGAAAGAAGGGATAAATAAGTCAAACAGAGATATTGAAGGATAATCCATCATCCATTCATTCAACAAAGATCTGTTGAGTTCCTATCGGGCTCCATTCTAGGCACCACGGATACAATTAACAAGTTCAAGTCACTGGCAACTGACTCCCAGCACTTCCAGGTGACTTTGGTGTGTGCATATGTATGTGTGTGGGTGCGTGCGTGCGTGTGTGTGCAAGCACTCTGTCTGCAAGGGCCTGCTGCCGGGGCACCTGTCTTCCCTGGGGCCCGGTGTTTTTAGCATCTGTCCCTGGATCCTGTTGCAGACCGAAATAAGGCTGAGCCACAAGACGGCAGAAACGATTCTTGTCAGCTGAGGCCAGAGCTGGCTGTAGGGCACTCCTTGCTTGCTGACTGCTGACCGTCTGCCCAGGCACCGACCACTCTGCTTTCCAACAGGGGTGTTAATCTTGAGGGTCTGACATCCGGTCCTGCTCAGGTATCAGGATCCTAGGGGAGCTCGAGTTGCTGTGGGGAGTGGGCAAAGGAGATGAACCAGTCCCCAGACCAAGCAGGTGAAGGGCCTGCAGAGGGTCTGAGGGGTGTGGGGCCTTACAGAAGCCTGGATCCTGGTGGGGAAGGGAGGGTTGCTCAGCTCTGTGTTCTTGTGGGTTAAATGGGAAGGGGTGACTAGGATTCAAGGTGGGCAATAGATAATGGCTCTGCTCAGGACTCTAGCTTTTCAGGCAGTAGAGGGAAGCAGGGTCCCTGTCTATAAAATGAGGGACCTGTCCCAATGTCTGTGAATTTCTATAAGGGGAGTATTTTTCAAGTAACAGATCCATGGGCTGTGGGGCCTTGAGTGGTCACAGTGGGAGCATTCTTAACCATCTCATGACCCTTACTCAAAGTGCCCACAGACATGCTTACGTTTGCACACAGTTCTAGGGGGTTGTGGCTGCTGTGAGGACCATCCATGGGTCCCAAGATCTAACCTAACCTCCTCGGTTTGGGGGAATTGAGGCACAGAGCTGGAGAGATACTCACTCACAGTTACAGAGGAAGCCAGGGTCACTTATCAGACTCCATGCTGCCCAGCTCAGAACCCACTGACCTGGGGCTGGGTGGAAGTGGGGGGTGCAGAGGGAGGCAGGTCAGTTTTCTAAAGAAAGGAGCGGAGGAAAGCCCGGAAGTGGAGCAGAGGGGCACGGGGGTGGGCAGTCTGTCAGGGGCTCAGGGAGCTCTGCTTTCTCTCCTGGGGACAAGTCAGGGAGCATGGACTTGGGGCCTGCAGGGTTCTCTGGGGCTCTGAACCTCGTTTTACTGGCAAACCTCTTCCAAGATTCCCAGAAAGAGCTGTGAGATGCAAACTGGGAGGAGGCAGCAGAGCAGGGGTGAAGGAGGCGAGAGCACCATATTAGTTAGCTGAGGGCTGGGGGATGGGGAAGGGGTGCCGGGTCTCAGCTTCCTTGGACCCATCTGTGCCCTCATGCCTCGCAGAATCAAGTACTAGAGGCCTGAGAGGGGGACCAGCCTTGCTGACCCCAGGAGCCCCACCTGACCATCCACCCCACTTTTCCCCCAACTTAAACCTCCAACTTTAATGTCTCTGATTAGAGCTCACCTGAGTCACCAGACGATGTCGTCTGAGACTCCCACCTCCCCGAGCCCCGATGTCCCAGGACCATCCCCTGAAGGGGGGGCTTCCCCAGCCACTTGGAAGCAGATCTGTTTGACCTCTAGCATCTCCCTTGCCCTCCCTGGACCTTGGTCTCCTCTGAAAGAGACCCTGAAGGCCTTTCCAGCTTAGAGAGCCCTTGCTGGAGACCGTGGAGTGGGCCAAGGCTGTCCATGGCTGGGGCTAGGTGAACCAGGGACTGGGAGAAGGTCTGGGGAGGAATGGAGGCAGCCTCATCCATTTTGGGGAGTCTCTCTTCCACAGGATGATCCCCAAGGAGCAGAAGGGGCCAGTGATGGCTGCCATGGGGGACCTTGCTGGACCAGGTAAGGTAGACCCAGCCCTTATGCCTTCCTCAGATCCCATCCTTTCTTGGTCCCAGACTGTGGCCACTCCAGCCTGCTGGACCCAGGCCTGGGCAAACAGGTGTGAGTTCCAGGCCAGCCTGTGAAATCTGCCACCTGGACTGGGAAGCTTCCTGAAATCTTGAGGGGGGCCTTGCCCTGGAGTCCACATACCCAAGAGTTGAGGTTGAGTGTCCTAGATTGGACCCTGGGCCAGCCAAGTCTTACCTCAGCCCCAAACTGAGCTGTCAGGGTTCCGCTCCCAGGTTCAGCCCTGACTGGGGCCCCAGTCTCCCCTAGCGCTGGACCCTGCTTACTGCTCACTGTAACTGTGGGCCTCACTGGGCCCCCATGGCAAGAGACAGCAGGTGCAGGGAGGGTTAGTTAATTATCAACATAATAAGGCCTTTTTGGAACTCTTGGTATAATTGTGCAGTCTGTTAATTTGTCCTGGTTTACAGCATATGAAATATTCAAAAAACAAATTCAACTAAGTCAAGGCTCTCAAACTTTAATGTGAATCATAGTGACATAATTTTGTTGGTTCAAAATACAGATTCCCAGTATCTGTCCTCAGGGATTCTGACTCAGTGGACCTGGGGAAGGGCCATACCTTCACCCTGCAGGCAAGTGCCCAGGTGATTCCAGTGCAGACAGTGAGCCAAGCCCTGATAAACCCTTGCTGGGCACTGCTGCAGCTGTGCCCCCTTCAGAGCTCCAACGGGCCTTTAATCACGTTGTATGACTTGATATGTGAGTCATCTTCTAGCCTATTGGGTTGTGTTCTTGCATCCTTTTTTGGTTTCAAGTCTCATTTTTTTTTTTTATTCCATGATTTTGTGTGCTTAAAGATGCAAACTTCATGAGTTACGGATGCTCTAACTAGAAGAATCAGCCAATGCCTTCTCCTTTGTCTTGTCTAAGTTATTAATTATAGACCCCCAAATATTGACACACATCATTTATGCCAGAGTGGAAATACATAAATTGTTGACTACTGCCAGGGTATTAATTAAAGGCAGTTGAAACTAAAGAAAAGTAGAAAAAAAAATCTCATGGTCTCACCACCAAAATGCAGCCATTCTAAAGTAATAATAATAAAAACACCATTATGTGCTTACCGTATCAGCTATGGTGATAAGAGCTTTTATGCTTTATGTTATATAACACAACAACTCAGTAAATTATTATTATCCCCAATTTTGCAGAAGAGAAAACAGGCTTAGAGGAGCGAGGTGGGCACATATCTAGTCAGTGGTAGAGCTGCAATTTGACTCCAGATCTGCTACTACCTGGTTATACAAATAATACATCCATTTTATAAAATATTCAGACAAAACAATAAATGGCTTTGAAAGTGAAAGTTTCAAATGGAGATATCCATTGTTAACATGTTTGTGTAAATCCTTCTGTTCATGTACAAACATATTTATATAAACATATATATACGTGGGCTTAATTCTATACACTGGGTTCTTTAGCTTAATTTTTTTTTCACTTAGCAGCGTACCACAGACTTCTGTCTATCCCGGTATTATTTATCTCACCACCTCCTCTCCTCTTGCTCCCCCAAAACATAATACAGTATATCTATTTATAGAGACATACACACCTTCTAATGGCGGCCATGAAAGCTCATCTCAGGGTGGGAATAGAGCCTGAGGATTCTGCTGCAAGCGACTTACTGAGGTCACACTCTCAGGAGAAGAGGAGTGACAGAGCAGGACAGGGCAGGGGAAACTGCTAAGCAAGGATGTGGGCTCTGCTGTAGCCCAAGTTCGGTCTGAACCACGTGGGGGCCTCCAGAGCCTGAACTGCTCCTCAGTATCCATCCCACCTCCAGCCAGGGGGCTGTTCCCCTGGGTAGCTCTCTGCAGAAGGTGGCAGTTGTGAACTGTTAGCCAGTGGTAAAGGGCATGGGGGCAGCATCCACTACAAGACCGGTCCCCAGTTTTCACAATTTGAAACCCCACTGTAGTGGCCATCCTTGTATGTGTATCTTCGGGCATGTTTATTCAACTTTTCTTCCCCAAAATGAATGACTAGAAATAGCATTGCTTAGTTAAATAGGTTTTATCTATAGTTTTTTTTTCCCCTTAGTAGTGAGCTCAGTTCATCTGGATAGTATTTGAGAATATAATGCCAGGGAACTTTGTATTATGTATTAGGTATAAATAAATAGTCTTTCATATTTTTATATTATGCAGTACATTTTATTTTCTTGTTAAAAAAAAAACATTCCAAACAATTTCTAGCCCTCCTCCTTTCTATGCCCTGCTACTATTTGGCCTCTTTCCTAGCAGATTTTTAATGTGTGCATAAACACATATTTTTTTAATATATGAGTGGGTCTTGGAATATAGATTCTTCTGAAATTTAATTTTTTTCCCTTTTAACCTACAAGGGATTTCTTTCTGTTCCTAACATGCAAAAGATGCTCTCTCTGTATTTGCTGAAAGAATGAAAAACAACATCGACCACCTCTTTTTAAGAGCTGTTTAGGATTCTGTTGAATGGAATGACTCACAGCACCCGAACAGCCCTCCGAGCTGCTGGTAACCCTGTCCAGCTCTGTCCCATAGTACTCTCTTAGACAACGCCAACCTTCCCCCTCCCCACACCTTCTTCCTCACTTTCATTCTCCGCTACTGACCTTGTTTCTTTCTTCACCAAGTAAGGTGAAGAAACCAAACAACACTTCTGCAAGCTCCCTCCCCACATCTGTCTGCTTGCTTGCCTCTGTGCCCAGATTCTCAGTTTCCCTTCCTGATGTGCTAGATGGGCAATCCTCCTACCTGTCTGAAGCCTACCCTTCTAGTTGGACACTGGATCCCCTTCCCTCCCTCCTGCTAGGGACATTCCTTTAGTAATGCTCCCCTCTCTCTGATGCATTGCCACATTTCCCCATCACACAAACATGCTGTTAGTCCTCCCTCTTCAAAAATAAACTCCTGGTTCCTCAGGAGCCTCCAGCCTGGTCCTTTAGAGCACAACCCCTCAGAACAGCTCTTCATCTCTTTTTGACAGTCTGTTAAGTCAATTTCCAAACATGCGCAAAAGTAGAGAGAGAAAATCCCATGGCCACCCCCACTCTCACCCCCACGTTTATTCCTAGAGTCCAAAGCAAGTTCCAAAGAGCATGTAATTTCATCCCCCAAATGTTTCAACATGCATCAAAAATTTAAAAAGCACATTTCCTTACATGCCATGAAGATTTTAGTATGCTGAGCAAAATTAGTAATATTGATTTAATACGATCTAATAACTAGCCTCATAGTCAACTTTTTCCAATTTTCTAGTTCATTTTAATGAAGGTCCAAATAAGGGCCATTGGTTTTATTTGGCAGCTATGCCTCTTAACTCTCCTTTAAGCTAAAGCACCCATCCCCACCCCCTTCTTTCCCCCCATGTCATTCATTCTTTTGAAGAAACCAGGCCAGTTGCCCTGCTCAATGTCCCACATTCTAGATCTGGCTCATTGCTTCTTCGTGGTGTGGTTAAAATGTTCCTTCGTCCATTTTCCCTTGAACCCTTTCCAGGAACACTTTTGCACCCAAATACTCCACAGAAACTACTTTTGTGAAGTTTACCAAAAATGACCTCATGTCACTAAATATAATGGCCACTTTCAGTCCTCCTCTTACTTGGCCTGTCAGCAGCCTTCCACCCCGCCGCTCATGCCATCGTCCCCAAAGCACTTTATCCTTTGGTTTCGGACACCACACTCTTTAGATTTCCTCCTGCACAACCCGGTGCTCCGACCCTGGCCCCAGAGCTGGCCCCTCATCTCCTCAGTTTAAATGTTGGAGGACCTGGGCTCAGTCTTTGGATCTCTTTATCCATTCTCATATCCTTGGTGACCTCATCCAGCCTCCTGGCTCAAAACACAAGTTACAGAATGGGAATATAAACCTAAATGTATCTGGTTTTAGGGATGAAGAACTCTGGCTGTGCTGATCACACACAGCCCTTTCCTACCAATGTCCTCACATTCTGGTACTCATTCCTCCAAAAGGCTTCCCTTGTTGGGCAAATGTAAGCGTTATATTTTGCCTGTGAGGAAAGCACAAAGAACACAGATAGGCCCCAAAACTACTAAGGATAGCCATCAGCCCAGCAAACCCTCTGCAGGGACATCACAACTAGTCCCAACTATGAGAAAAGAAATAAATGCAATTGCCTTCATTGGAGAACAGCAACAGATACCATTTGTAAGCTCATCATACCCCAGTTCTCATCTCTGCGTCACTTTTCTCCTGAGAACACTAGGCTCACTTGTCCAGCTCTGTCCTTGGCATCTCACTTGAATGGCTACAAGGCTCTTCAAACCTTACATGCCCAATTTTGGAGGCAATGAGGAGAATTTGAATATGAATGGGCATCATAAAAGACAAAAATGTATTCACTTGGAAAGGTAGATATCTTTAATTGATAAAAGCAAGTTAGAAAGCACATATACCATGATTTCATTTTGGTTAAAAACTCAGACATGAATATGTAGTCACTGGAGGAGGTATGAAAGGATATACACTATCCAGGTGCTTATCTCCAGGTGATAGAAGTGGTATTTTTCTTTTCTTTTTCCCTTATAATGGTATTTTCTTTCTTATATGCTGTTTTGTATAGTAATAAAAGACTTTTTAAATTGAAAGAACACATCTAAAGCACTCCTTCTCCTCCTGCTGCCACCTCCCCACCGCGGCTGCTCAGCCCTTCCTGGGCTCCGGTCAGAAATACGCAGCTAGCCCCCACCGTCAGCCCCCACCGCTCTCTCCCTCATGGCCCTTACCCATCCGCGGCTTATCGTTAAAGGAGATCCGGAATCTGATCACTTCTCACCGCTTCCAGAGCTCTGGGCTTGGAGCTGCGCAGGGAACTCATGAACAAATACAAATGGCCAAAGAACATCTGAAATGCTGCTCCATTCACTGAGGGTCAAACATATTCAGATTAAACTCTGAAGAGTCATTTTTGCCCATCAGGTGGGCAAAGAGTCCACAGGATGACAACTCCCAGTGCTGGCAGCTGTGGGGAGAAACCAGCATTCCCAAACATGACAGGTGGTGTTGTGAGGAGGTCCTCTGGGAAGCGGCAGCCCAGAGTGCCTGAGGGTATGGAAGTAGGAGCTCATCTGGCCTCTCCTGCAGTCCCTTTGCTGGACCTGGGCAAGAAGCTGAGTGTGCCCCAGGACTTGATGATGGAGGAGCTATCATTACGCAACAACCGGGGATCCCTCCTCTTCCAGAAGCGGCAGCGCCGGGTGCAGAAATTCATCTTTGAGTTTGCAGCCAGCCAGCAGGCGGTAAGTAAACCCCCATTGTGCTTACAGGGAAACTGAGGCCTAGAGAGGGCCAGTGGTTAGTCTAAAGCCTAACAGTGAGCCAGATAAGGACCTCTGTTCCCTGGGGAGTCCCTCAAGCTCCAGCCGGGGAGCTATGGCATCCCATCGTCCCATCAGATCAAGCCCCTGCCTTGCTGTGTGATCCTAGAAGTGCTTCTTTTAAGCTCTCTGTTCCCAGATACAAACCACAAAGTGATTGAGCCAGATGAGCTGTGGAACAAAGGGGCTCCGGCTCCTACAAAAACTTATGAAAAGTAGGCATGTGCTTTGGGCTGAATTTGCAGCAAGCAGGATTTACATTAGACTTGAGCTTGGTCTAAGATGGAAAACAGAATGTCTTTTTCTCTTCCCACCGAAGAAGGAAAGGCCACAGGGACAGTCTGATGACAGAGAAGGGAGGCAAAAATCATTTATCCTGAGGCTTCCGAAGGCAGTGGGCAGTTTCAGGCACTTCTAATGAACTCAGTCGTATTCCTCTCAATTTCTGGACTGGACAGGAGGTGACTGAGAAGGAGCGATGTGACAGAATAATAGATGGCAATATACCTCTCTTTGCAATGTACCTAGCAGTGCTAGCTGATGCTTCACATACATCATCTCATTTAATACTCACAGAACCCTTTGAGGTCATCACTCCCATTTCATAGAGAAGGAAACTGAGGCTCAGGGAGGTGAAGAATCTGCCAGGGGTCAGTATTATAATAGCAACCAGCATATATAGAGCATTTCTCTGCCGCAGGCACTGGGTTTAGCGCACAACTATTAACTCATCCCCCCAACATCCCCTTTTTGGGTGCGGGGAGAACCCTGGCTCCTTGCTGTGCTGAGCCTCCCTGCGGTCTGTTTACCCCACAGGTCCCGGGCGGAGGCGACAAGGGGAAGGTGACCGGAACAGCGGAGCCCGGGACGGTGAGTATGGAGGGAGCCCCCAAGCTGTGGGGAGAAACCAGCATTCCCAAACATGACAGGTGGTGTTGTGAGGAGGTCCTCTGGGAAGCGGCAGCCCAGAGTGCCTGAGGGTATGGAAGTAGGAGCTCATCTGGCCTCTCCTGCAGTCCCTTTGCTGGACCTGGGCAAGAAGCTGAGTGTGCCCCAGGACTTGATGATGGAGGAGCTATCATTACGCAACAACCGGGGATCCCTCCTCTTCCAGAAGCGGCAGCGCCGGGTGCAGAAATTCATCTTTGAGTTTGCAGCCAGCCAGCAGGCGGTAAGTAAACCCCCATTGTGCTTACAGGGAAACTGAGGCCTAGAGAGGGCCAGTGGTTAGTCTAAAGCCTAACAGTGAGCCAGATAAGGACCTCTGTTCCCTGGGGAGTCCCTCAAGCTCCAGCCGGGGAGCTATGGCATCCCATCGTCCCATCAGATCAAGCCCCTGCCTTGCTGTGTGATCCTAGAAGTGCTTCTTTTAAGCTCTCTGTTCCCAGATACAAACCACAAAGTGATTGAGCCAGATGAGCTGTGGAACAAAGGGGCTCCGGCTCCTACAAAAACTTATGAAAAGTAGGCATGTGCTTTGGGCTGAATTTGCAGCAAGCAGGATTTACATTAGACTTGAGCTTGGTCTAAGATGGAAAACAGAATGTCTTTTTCTCTTCCCACCGAAGAAGGAAAGGCCACAGGGACAGTCTGATGACAGAGAAGGGAGGCAAAAATCATTTATCCTGAGGCTTCCGAAGGCAGTGGGCAGTTTCAGGCACTTCTAATGAACTCAGTCGTATTCCTCTCAATTTCTGGACTGGACAGGAGGTGACTGAGAAGGAGCGATGTGACAGAATAATAGATGGCAATATACCTCTCTTTGCAATGTACCTAGCAGTGCTAGCTGATGCTTCACATACATCATCTCATTTAATACTCACAGAACCCTTTGAGGTCATCACTCCCATTTCATAGAGAAGGAAACTGAGGCTCAGGGAGGTGAAGAATCTGCCAGGGGTCAGTATTATAATAGCAACCAGCATATATAGAGCATTTCTCTGCCGCAGGCACTGGGTTTAGCGCACAACTATTAACTCATCCCCCCAACATCCCCTTTTTGGGTGCGGGGAGAACCCTGGCTCCTTGCTGTGCTGAGCCTCCCTGCGGTCTGTTTACCCCACAGGTCCCGGGCGGAGGCGACAAGGGGAAGGTGACCGGAACAGCGGAGCCCGGGACGGTGAGTATGGAGGGAGCCCCCACAGGAGGGAAGCTGGGGGAAGCGGCCGGGCAGCTCGTGGGCAGCAGTCGCCGCCTCTGAGCGCCGGCCCCGTGCCCAGGTTGCAAAAGGCCCTGACGGGGAGAACTACCGCCCGGAGCTCCACATCTTCTCTGCCTCGCCTGGGGGTCCAGCGGACGCCCGGGCGGCAGCTCCCCCGGCGGAGTGCGCCCGGAGCCCCAGGGCCCTGGCACCAGGTGAGTGGCCTCCGCCAGTAGCGGGAGCAGGGCTCGGGGACGTGGTGGGGCGCTCCACGGTGGGGCTGGGAGACGCCCACCCCAAACCCTAACACATACCCAGAGAGGGGCAGCAACGCGCCAAAGGTCACACAGCGAGCCAGAGTCCCAGCCAAGAGTGGAACCTGCTCCAGTCCTGTTTCCAGGGATAAGGAAGGGTCTCCTATGCTGGAATTTGGCGACAAATCCCTCCACAATCTTCCCTCAGCTCCGATCTTCCCTCCCTCAGCCATGTTGGGGTGGGCAGGAGAATGGGCGCCCAGGGAGGGGGAACCCAGGCCCTGTTCCTGCCCGCCTCCCACGCGACCTGCTCCACCTCCAGGCTATGCTGAGCCACTGAAGGAAGTCCCGCGCGAGAAGTTCAACCACACGGCCATCCCCAAGGGCTACCGCTGCCCTTGGCAGGAGTTCATCAGCTGCAGGGACTACAAGGGCGATGGCCGAAGTCACATCAGGAGCCTGGTGGAGTACCGGAATTTCAACAAGTAAGGCGGGACGTGCCCTTTGGGGTGGGGGTTGGGAGTCATAACCGCAGCAGAAGCTGCCCTGCCTCGGCACTTTCTACACACCAGGCTCTACCTGAACTCTTTATACACAGTGATGGAGCTCTTGCTAGAACTCTTGCCTCAGCAAATATAGTAGGTGCTCAATAAACGTACAGGGACTGACTGGGTAAACGTGCCACACATCTCGTTGGATTCTCTCCAGAAAGGATGGGGCAGGAGCTCCAGTTCTTCCTATTCTGTCGGTGCAGAGACCTGCTCAGAAGTATCGACAACCTGCCCAACATCACAAAGCAAGGAAAGCAGGAGGTCTGGGACCCAAACCTGGTGCGTCTGACTCCAGGCCTAATTTCTTGCTCTCCATCACTGTTGTGTGCCACTTCTTTGATGTACGTTGAGGTGTATGTCCTTTCCTGGGTGGGAGACCCAGTCCTAGACCAGTTCAACCTTTTCTTCACTTTTATCAGTGGCCTGGAAGAGGCATAGAAAATGGCTTTGAAGCTGTACAAAAGTGGACATCCGAGGTGAGAGCCACAGAAGAGTATGGCTCATGTTGTTTAGAGCATGGGGCCTCAACATGGGCCTAAATGCAGACTCTTCGCCTTGCTGTGTGACCTTGGGCAAATAACTTAACCTCTCTGAGCCTCCATTTCCCCATCTGTGAAGTGAGACTATAATAGTACTTACTTCATAAGATTGTTGTGAGGATGGCATGAGATGCCACAGGCAGTTTCTGGCAAGTAAAAAGCTCTCAGTAAATAGTAGCTATTATTATTGTTGTTGTGTTTGTTATTTGCAGGCTGAAATGATGGCTGGAAAAGCTCATAGGGGAGAACTGAAAAGGGATAAATTTAACATTCTGCCTTGGGGGTCCCAAAAGAAATCATAGGAGTCAAGACAGGGGCTTGGCACTGGAGGAAGGCCTTGAGCTTCCTCAGTCTGATGCTCTTTCTGAAAAATGCTCCTCTGGCTTGGGATGCATTAAGTGAGAAAGGAGGACCCACAGAGAGGAGGCCACAGTCCAGCTCTTTTGGCACCTGCTCAGACCACACGTGGAGAGTGTCTGACAGCTGGGGGTGGTCGGCCTTGAGAAGAGACCACTTGGGAGGGATGTGACTGGACTGCTCTCATAGAGCTGATAGGCAGGAAGGCCCTGAGGGGAAAAATTGTGCCCAACAGGCACTGTGTGAGCCACATGCCATTGGCAGACATTCTGGGGTTTCCTGCCAGACCGGACTGTGCTCTCTCTCTTCCTGGCACCCTCAGCCCCTGCATGCCCAGCTATTTAAAACCCTCAGCCTGGCAGCCAGCTTCTAGGCTGGCCAGCTCAGGTCACAGCCCTATCCATCTCACACCTCAGGCATGCCAGGCTGAGGCACCTTCCCACCAGCTGAAGGAAGGTCTCAAGGAGCCCTGAGCCCAGATCTCTTCTGGGACAGAAAGACCAACCGAGGTCGGAAGAGGAAGGACAGCAGTGCTTGGAGGCCACGCTGTGCTCAGGATGCAGGGCTCTGGGCTCCCAGTCAAGGGCCCAGCTGCGAGGCCTGCTCAGACTGGAAGCTGCCCAGCCTGTTCCCGTGCGGCCTGGCTGCTGCCACCACCGCTGGGGTGGTCCAGGCAGAAACACTGTCCAGGCTGGAACCCAGGCCCCAGCCCAAGGTTTGCCTTTCCACCCCAGGCAGGCATTCCCCTCTTCCTGCTGGTCTGAGGCTGCAGGAAAAACACTACATGAGCAATGCTTTTTATTTTTCTTAAAATTAAAAAATAGTTTAACATTCACATACTTATATACTTACATTAAAAAAAAAAAACTAGGCAACTACAAATAAAAGTAGGATGCCCTTCCTTCTTCACCGTCCTCCAAACCCAGCTCCCTTCCCAAAGGTAACACTTGTCAGGTTGGTAGGCATGTTTTTTTTGTTTGTTTGTTTGTTTTTGCTGTCATTAATGTACAATTACATGAACAATATTATGGTTACTAGACTCCCCCCTTTATCAAGTCCCCCCCACATACCCCATCACAGTCACTGTCCATCAGCATACTAAGATGCTATAGAATTATTACTTGTCTTCTTTGTGCTATACTGCCCTCCCCGTGACCCCGCCTCCTATATTATGTCTGCTAATCTTAATGCCCCTTTTTCCCCCTTATCCCTCCCTTCCCACTCACCCTCCCCCGACCCTTTTCCTTTGGTAACTGTTAGTCCATTCTTGGGTTCTGTGAGTCTGCTGCTGTTTTGTTCCTTCAGTTTTTCCTTTGTTCTTACACTCCATATATGAGTGAAATTATTTGGTACTTGTCTTTCTCTGCCAGGTTTATTTCATTGAGCATAATACCCTCCAGCTCCATCCACGTTGTTGCAAATGGTAGGATTTGTTTTCTTCTTATGGCTAAATAATATTCCATTGTGTATATGTACCACATCTTTATCTACTGATGGACACTTAGGTTGCTTACATTTCTTGGCTATTGTAAATAGTGCTGCGATAAACATAGGGGTGCATCTGTCTTTTTCAAACTGGAGTGCTGCATTCCTAGGGTAAATTCCTAGGAGTGGTATTCCTGGGTCCAATGGTATTTCTATTTTTAGTTTTTTGAGGAACCTCCATATTGCTTTCCACAATGGTTGAACTAATTTACATTCCCACCAGCAGTGTAGGAGGGTTCCCCTTTCTCCACATCCTCACCAACAATTGCTGTTATTTGTCTTTTGGATGGTGGC